CTGGGAGTGACGGAGTCGAGAACAGAGAGTACGCACACCGATCCTGGATGGAGTTCATATGGCCGTGGACGTCGATGACAGTGGGGCCGGTCACAGTGCAGGTGGAGGCCAACACGCAGCTAACAAAAGGCAACCAACCACAAACATCACCATGAGTTGCTGCCAAAGAAGGTTGCCCCAGGGGACCCTCTATTTCTTAAGTTATTTCACTGTAGAACCTTTTAGAAACAAATATGAAGAGAAAATATTTACCTGCCGTTGCCTTGACAATGCTCCAATGGACCACAACCAGAGGTCTGGAGGGTTGCAGTCTCAGAACAAGTGACACTGGAGCAGATTTGTGGGTCAGAGTTGACCACAGTACCAGGTTTATACACAGTACCTGGGAAGAGATAGAGGCTTCACTTTAGTTCAACAGTTTTCCAACTGTAAGTGTAAATAAAACAGTAACAATCAAATCTTTCAGAATTACATAATCCCAAAGTCACGGTAGGAGTTTAAGATTCACTAACCTGAGTGTCTGCATCCACTGATATCTATGGTATCATCATTTTGATAGTTGTCAAGAATGTTATTAACCTCTACGTTGTTGATTACGGCATCACCGACCCAAGTATGATAGAGCTAAACAGAAACAAACACAGCTAATGTTATAATCACAGAGCAGAAAGAACTGGCATCAAGCTGAAAACACAAAGCAGGAACTCCAGCAACACTTGAGGGAAGATGAACAACTTTAATAATAGACCATTATTATCGGTCTATTATTAAAGTTGTTCATCTTCCCTCAAGTGTTGCTGGAGTTCCTGCTTTGTGAATTCTTTTATCCTCTTGGAAGTGAAGTTGTGCCAGAACATTTTTTTGCTGCGATTTATCAAGCTGAAAACAGACACAAATGTTGGCATTAAATATAAAGTATTTAACATATTACGTCAAAGTGTTATTGTTCATATACACACAGACTCACCACCACTAAACCAATGTCATGTGCTTCCAAACTCAGAGCTGCTTCTGTCCCAAAGTTGAATAGGTCTAAGCTAATCTGTAAACAGGTTAACAGGAAAGATTCAGTCACTGTGAAGAAGTTTCATCTGAAAGTGTTTAGAAAAGCTCAGGTTCACAACATTAACATTGGGCCTGTTGAGCTGCATTGCTAAAACATTTTGAATTTCATAATGGAGTGTTTCCATATGCTATAAAAACTACAGTCATCATGTTTTCAAATCAGGTGATTATATAACCAATCATCAGACCAATCCTTCTGCTAGCAACAAAAATAGCAGAAAAAGTGATTTTTAAACAAACACGATCATAATCCGACATGTTGTCATATACTGAAGTGGTATCCATGCAAGTCTCTGTTTTCATG